GATGCGAGGGTTTTGCTGCCAATGCAGGGATTGTGGTAAATATTAATGCGAACAACAATCAACACAAAGAACGCACGAAAACAATTTTGACAGTTCAAGTGTAGGGATGAGGTTCTGCGAACAGATTGCACTTGCAAGCGCACGCGCGTCCAACAAGTACAGCAATCAACCCACAAAAACATTAACGCGAACAACAATCAACACAAAGAACGCACGAAAACAATTTTGACAGTTCAAGTGTAGGGATGAGGTTCTGCGAACAGATTGCACTTGCAAGCGCACGCGCGTCCAACAAGTACAGCAATCAACCCACAAAAACATTAACGCGAACAACAATCAACACAAAGAACGCACGAAAACAATTTTGACAGATCAAGTGTAGGGATGAGGTTCTGCGAACAGATTGCACTTGCAAGCGCACGCGCGTCCAACAAGTACAGCAATCAACCCACAAAAACATTAACGCGAACAACAATCAACAGAAAGAACGCACGAAAACAATTTTGACAGATCAAGTGTAGGGATGAGGTTCTGCGAACAGATTGCACTTGCAAGCGCACGCGCGTCCAACAAGTACAGCAATCAACCCACAAAAACATTAACGCGAACAACAATCAACAGAAAGAACGCACGAAAACAATTTTGACAGATCAAGTGTAGGGATGAGGTTCTGCGGCGGGTTCAACAAATACAGGCAACCAGCTCACAAGAATATCAATGCGAACATTTTTCATAAACAAATTTTAGCATGTATTAAACCTTCTGACGCGTATTGTGTAGCTTCAGTGTGAGCATAAACAATAAGTTTTGCTTTGCTTCTTAGTACTGCCCATAGAAACTAAGCAAAAAGAACCCTAAAGGTATCAGCCTCATATATGTATACATGTATACATGTATATATGTATATATGTATATATGTATATATGTATATATGTATATATGTATATATGTATATATGTATATATGTATATATGTATATATGTATATATGTATATATGTATATATGTATATATGTATATATGTATATATGTATATGTAGATATGTATATAAGTATATATGTATATATGTATATATGTATATATGTATATATGTATGTGTATATATATATATATATATTAGTCTCGAAAAACCTAAGTAGCCTCGAAATGCCCCCCAAACAACCTTATAAGGTCTCTTCTGAGGGTCCCTCCTGTAGTCCCTTGACTAGACAGAGCCAGATCCCCGTGGCCTAAAAAATCCAAAATGCAGCGCCCAACCGCGCTAGCTAAGGAATAGACCCTCAATTGGGTTTAGGGCTTAGGGTTTAGGGTTTAGCGTTTAGGTTCCAGGTTTTAGGGGGAATAGACCCGGATAGCCCGAAAAACCTTGGAGGTGCATGGACTGGGGCAGTTCCGAGGGCCTTTGTTCACGGCTGACACTTTAGGGCCGCAAGTTAATGCTTTGACGGTTCCAGGGTTTAGGGTTTAGGGTTAGGGTTTAGGGTTTAGGTCGTTCGGGGGCATGCAGGGGTGCTTAGACGCGAAGAACCCCAGCAACCTTGAAACCTTCAGTCCAGAAACTTCTGCAGCTTCTTGACCGCTGTCGCCATGGCCTCTGACAGGTGGTCATTTTGGGGGGTGTTGAAAGGTTTAGGTTCGATTACAAATTTATGATATACATGACTTTGAATCGGCTGATTCATTTGAATCGGCATCTGGTCTGGAGATTGAAGAAAGAAGATTCCCTGAAAAACACGTAGAAGTATCTAGTCACATGTGCTGCTCAGGACCCAGCCCTGCTGAATATAAAGCCCTTCAAAGCAACGATGCTCATAGCTTACGGGGCATTGCAAGAACGTGCAAGAGGCGCAAGCGCATGAAGCTGGTAGGTGTCGGACGGCGGATTGCATATGTATATATAAATATACATATATACATATATATGTATATATATATATATGTATATATATATGTATATATATATGTATATATATATATATATGCTACCCCCCGGGAGAAAAAAGGACATCCGCGATCTTGTGTTGAGTCCGATGTGAGTGATTGTGAAGTGAAGGGGTCGATGGAGTTTTGCAAACATTTGGCATGGTGCCTTTTGAAACTCTGTGGTACACTGACACGCACCATTTGCCACAGGAAACTGCTTCATATAATCCCTTCCCCGAAATATTAAACCCCCCCCCTGCCCCCTGATATTAACTACCCCCCATATGCGTATATTATAACTTCTGTGGAAGAATCTAATATGAGGGGGTAGCAGGGGAGGGTTAATATTGGGGGATGGGATTAACATATTGAACACGTGTCTTGAACCCAACGGCTTTTTGAAGGCATGCTCAGATTATTCGAGACAGAGCATGACTGCTTTTGGCACGGAGTTCGCGACGACGATTGAGTTTCGAAGGGCCTCTGTCGGGTCCGCAAATTACTTGTAGAACTTGTTCACGGCTTGGGCACAGGTCGCCACACCCAAGCCAGACATCTTGGTTCTTAAACCAAAACCCTAAACCCTAAATCCCCTAAAAGACTCGTACTGTGCTAAGCGCACCGACATTAGCGATCTGCAACTTAATGAAAGAAAAAGAATCTTAAGCATGGTAGATCACCACTCCAACTTAACAAACTGCCTCGTCGACTACTTTGAGTAACATACTTGGAAGAAAGCTGTAGCCGTAAGGTTACGCTGTTCGAATAGCCAGGCATCTTGGCTGAGAATGAAGGACAGCTGCGTTGATCACCGTGCACAGAAAGGACCCGGAGACTCCAATACCCAGGAAGAAAAGAAGCAACTGAACTGGCAACTAGTAGCTTAATTAAGGAAGATGCCTTACACCATCCAAGGAACCCTGAACCCTAAACCCTAAATCCTAAGCCCTAAACCCTAACTCTTAAGCCCAAAGCCCGAAACCCTAAACCCTAAACCCTAAACCGCCACGCGACACCCTATGCCCAAAACCCAAAACCCAAAACCCTAAACCCTTAACTCTGCCTCATGCGCCGCCGCCAAGATGTTGGTGCGGTCGATCTTTTCCCGGTTAACCACAACCACCGCGTATCCTCCGTTTAGGGTTTAGGGTTAGGGTTTAGGGTTTAGGGTTTAGGGTTTAGGGTTCAGGGTTCAGGGTTCAGGGTTCAGGGTTTAGGGTTTAGATGGGAGTAGGGTTTAGGGTTTAGGGCTTAGGGTTTAGGGTTTAGGGTTTAGGGTTTAGGGTTTAGGGTTTAGGGTGTAGGGTTTAGGGTTTAGGGTTTAGGGTTTAGGGTTTAGGGTTTAGGGTTTAGGGTTTGGGGTTTAGGGTTTAGGGTTTAGGGTTTAGGGTTTAGGGTTTAGGTTTAGGGTTTAGGGGTTCTGGTTTCGCAGACGAGAGTTTGGGATTTGGGTTTTTTTTGGCTAGCAGGTTTTTGGTTTAGGGTTTGGGGTGTCGGGGCTGTAGGGTTTAAAAGCTTCAGGGTTTGGGGTTTTAATTTTAGGGTTTGGGGGTTTCGGGTTTGAGCACTTTTGTAGGCATTGCTTGTGATCGAAGCTTAAACCCTAACCCGAAAGCCCTAATCCCCGAACCCTAAACCCAAATCGAAGCTCCCACTGCAGGAGCACTGGGGTTTAGGGTTTGGGGTTTGGGGTTTAAGGTTTAGGATTATTGTTTGGGGTTTAGGGATATTTGATTCTACCCATGTCATACAGCACGTGGCGACTAGAAGCGCACATGGACATAGGCTCCTGCTATCAACCCCTGAAGCCTCAGCCGAGCCCCAGAACCCTTCAACCCCACCCTAAACCCTAAACCCTAAACCCATCTACCCTAAACCCTAAACCCTAAAACCCTAAACCCATCTACCCTAAACCCTAAACCCTAAACCCTAAACCCTAAGCCTATAGTCACGATTTTGCTTCCTGGATGCGACTGCTGGGGTTGGTCAAAAGATACGATTTCGCTGGGCCTGCCACACCTTTCTACGTTCCCCCCACCCCGTTCTCTAACACGTTTTGCTTTGTGGGTGATTCTTCTTGCGGCCGCGCGCCAGGGCTTAGGGGTTAGGATTTAGGGTTTAGGGCTAGGGGTTCGGGCTAGGATTTCGGGTGTTGGGTTTTGGGTTTAGGGTTTCGGGTCTAGAGCTTAGGGTTTAGGAGGGCGTGAGGGTAGGTGGAACTTGCTTGGGCCCTCGCGGATGTCCGGGTTCTTGGTGAGTTCTGCGAAAACAGCCTCGCGCTGAACCTAGCCACGTGGTGGACACAGCAAGCCCTATGAACCCTAAACCTTGGGATGTTCCCCCTTGTACTAACAGTCCTTAATGGGGATTATCGTACTCCCTATTAGAATCCCCATTACGGACTGTTAGTAACAACCGGTAGACTTGCCATCCTAAATCTTCAGGAATGAAAAAAGGGTGCCCGTCTTGGTTTAAAGGGGGCTTATAAGGGAGCCTGAACCCTAAAAAAGGAAAATAAGGGGCCCACTCTGGGTCCTAGAAACCAGAGTTTGGACCCAGACCACATCTTCAGGGCTTCAGGGTTTATATGGGGGTTTCGGAAAATAGGGGTACCTTATTGGGGTCCTCATTACAAGAAATCCTACTATTTGGGGGGTCTATGCTAGGGGTCCTCTACTTTCGTAAACTCATATAGCGTTGCAGGGTTGTGAAACCGGGTTTTGGCAGCGGTTTGGGGAGGGCTTTCGGGCTTTTGGGATTTAGGGTCTAGGGCTGAGGGTTTAGAAGCAGACGTCGGGTCAGCCCGACTGGTGCTGGGAGTGCTTGTGGGGGCTTCTCTCGGACGAGGCTCGCATCTCTACGAATCCTGGCCGGACTACCCGGACTCCAAGATTCAACTCTATACCCCTACACCCCAAACCCGAAGCCCTGTAAGCCGCAAGCCCTACAGCCGGAAGTCTAAAGACCAATGAACGCCCCAGCAAACCGACTGTTGACTTACGTTGCCGTCTGCAAGTTTTGTCGCTCCGGGCTACAAAGCTTGGCGAGATGGATTCCATTCTGCCCACACGTCGGCTCTACTGACGCCGACACCACCAGCAAGAAGTCGATGAGTCAATTCTTTTGCCATCCTTCCAGACACCTTCAAAGCTGCTTCCGTCTGCATATTGGTAGCGGCCCTCGCCATGTCTGAGATCATCCTTGAAGCCACCTTCGTAGATGTCTCCGCTTTCATACCTAAAGATACCCGCACCATTCCTGAGGCCATCCTTGAACGTACCCTCATAGCTGTCTCCGTTCTCATACCTGTAGATGCCTTTGCCATGTGGGAGGTCATCCTCGAAGTCGCCTTCGTAGCTCTGTCCACCACCCAACCGAAGCAAGCCCTTGCCGTTAAAGTTGCCATCCTTAAAGTGCCCCTCGTACTGGTCCCCATCCCAGGTTTGCAGCTTTCCGAGGCCATTCCGGCAATCACCTTGCGCGCAAGTTGGGTCCGGAAGTTGCCCCTTGGGCTTTTGCAGCTCGCTGCGGCATTGTTGCAGCCCTTGGGTGCAATCCCGGCACCGCACTTGCACAGACCGGTTGGCCAACTCTTCCAACAAAAACTCGATGGCCAGGCCCACCTCAGGTACACAGTTGCCCATCACGTCATAGATCTCAAAGACCGGGTTCCAGGCCGGTTCTGGGCGCATGGCATCGGCAATGTTCCGAAGCTCCTCCCGATACAGGATGGACTCGGAAAGAGGCCGTACTCCAGTGAGGTTCTTGTTGATGGCAATAAGTACTTTTGTCGCCTTGTTGAGGCGCATCGCCTTCGCCAGCCTGATGGAGGCCACCTCCCAGAAGTTCCGCTTTGGGCCGGGCCAGCCGCAAGCCTCCAAGCGGGCGACCTGTTCATTCCTCACCATCATCCATCCCCACTGGGTCTCTTCAAGCTGGAAGCCATTCTCGCTGGCAATGAAATCTTCCAGGGCTGTCTTTGTGCCGACTCCTTGGTTCCTGTTGTCGAAGCCCGCCCAGAAGATGGGTTGCTGCTGTCGCTCGAAATTGGCCAAAACAAGCCGTGTCTGCCATTGGAACTCATGTCCGTGGCGAACGGTGCGCGCGGCCATCTTTGTACAGACGTGTGAATCTCTTTGTTGCAGGCGTCCGCGAGGGCAGCCTGCAGAGCCTGCACCTGTTGCGAGCACGCATTGCCGAGTGAGAGCGCCTGTGTCTGAAAATGCGCTTCATCCATATCCTGCGCGTGATCTCTTGTACGTTCCGCTGCCCCGTGACTCTGGGCAGAGCCCTTCCATACTGGCCAGAACCAATAGGCCGGTTGAATCTCCAAGGCATGAGCTTGCTCCTCCAAGCGCCGATGCGCGGAAATCTCCCAAGGTAGCAAAAAGATCCAGAAGGTGATCTTCTCTCTCAGTGCAGCCATGGAAACAATGAAAGCGATGTCGCACACAACGGCAGCGCAGGGTCTTGAGCAACTGTAGCCAACATTCAGGAAATCACAACAACTCTTGCGAGCCTCTGTCACTGAAGGGACCAATTCATTTGATGACTGCCTATGTACTTCCATCAATGAACTTTGACATCTCCACGGGAAAACATCAAAGTGACTCGAGCGGGCTGTTTTGGGTCTAGGCCTCGAAGCCAAACGCAAAAGAAGAACTACCCTGAACTTGAACCACCCCTGAACACCCAAACCCTCAACCCTTTCCCAAACACCCAGAAAATCAAGCCCTGAAACCCCTCCAACAAGACCGAAGCCTAGAATCAGCCAAAAGCCGCCCCCTAAATCCCCCCAAAACCCTGAATGCTAAACCCTAAACCATAACACCCTAAACCCGGCCGGTCGTTTGGGTCACTTGGGACACTTGGTGGCATTTGGGTCGTTTGGACCACTTGTGGCCACTGACCCCAGAGGGCTCTAAACGACCCAAGTGCCACGAATTTCCCAAGTGGGTCTTGAGTGTCACAAAATGACCTACTACTGTAGCTGACTCGACCCAAGTGTCCCAAGTGACCCAGGAGACCCGAGTGTTTCGAGTGACCGAGTGAATGATGTGTTCCATAATTATTGAGTAAAGCACCTTGCAACATGTTTGTAAAACATCCTAAAACAAAAAAGAACGCAATAACTCCATCAGAGCATAAGTGGTCGATCTCGCGGTGTCTGCAGACTAATGCGCGCTCACAAAGAGCGCTGCCGTTTGGCACGCCGTAAACCCTAAACCCTAAACCCTAAAACCCTAAATTCCTACACCCCAAACCCCAAAACCCTAAACCCTAAATCCTAAACCCCAAACCCCAAACCCTAAACCCTAAACCCTCAACCCGAAGCCTCGCTCAGCTTCTTCGAGTCGGTGACCCCCGCCAGCCGCGCCGCGGCGGCTCCGCAAGTGACCGCCGCAGCCACGACGGGGCCGGCCAAGGGCCCCCGGCCGGCCTGAAGGAGGGTTTAGGGTTTAGGGTTTAGGGTTTAGGGTTTAGGGTTTAGGGTTTAGGGTTTAGGGTTTTAGGGGTTTAGGGGTTTAGGGGTTTAGGGGTTTAGGGGTTTAGGGGTTTGGGGTTTCGGGTTTCGGGTTTGGGGTTTGGGGTTTGGGGTTTGGGGTTTGGGGTTTAGGGGTTTAGGGGTTTAGGGTTTATAGGGTTTATAGGGTTTAGGGTTTGGGGTTTGGGGTTTAGGGTTTGGGGTTTGGGGTTTAGGGTTTGGGGTTTGGGGTTTGGGTTTGGGGTTTAGGGTTTGGGGTTTGGGGTTTAGGGTTTGGGGTTTGGGGTTTGGGGTTTGGGGTTTGGGGTGCAGGGTTTTTGGGTGTACCAGGATGGGCTATTACAATGCCTAATGTCCCCATCCTGGTCATTTTGTAAGAACCGCCCAACAAATAAAATATATTCTTCCTCAAAACGGTCAACATCGGGATGCTTATCTGTTTTCCGGGGGGGGGGGGGGGGGTTCTTAAGCAAATAGTCGGGCTTAGGGTTGGGGCGGTCGGGGTTTGAGGGTTCAAGGGCTTTGGGGAGGGCCTTCGGGGCTTCAGTTTAGGGCTTTGGGCATTTGGGGTTTTAAGGAGGGGTTTAAGGGTGTAGAGGTTTAAGGGTTTGGGGGCTTAAATTGTATGAAGAGCAGTTCTTTGAACTGTATTCCCTTTTTTGGGTCCCAATGTCGTATTGTAGCACGGCACCTTAAAGCAGGAGGACCCTAACTTAGAGGATTTTGTGGGTTTGGGGGTTCAGTGTAAACCCTAACCCCTAAACCCTAACCCTTAACCCTAAACCCTAAACCCTAAATCTCAAACCCTAAAACCCTAAAACCCTAAAACTCTAAACCTGCCATCCAGGATTGCGGTGAGATGGGACCCCCAAACCCTAAACCCCAATTAAACCCTAAACCCTAAGCCCTAAACCCTAACCCTAAACCCTGAACCCTAAACCGTGGCTCGTGGCCTCATCGACGCCCACCACGCAGCTCCCGCGCTTCTTGGGGGCCATGGGCAAACTCTCTGGGAGCCTGAGAATGGGTTTAGGGTCTAGGGTTTAAGGTTTACGGTTTAGGGTCTAGGGTTTAGGATTTAGGTTTAAGGGTTTAGGGTTTAGGGTTTAGGGTTTAGGGTTTAGGGTTTCGGGTTTCGGGTTTGGGTTTTAGGTTTAGGGTTTAGGGTTTAGGGTTTAGGGTTTAGGGTTTAGGGTTTAGGGTTTAGGGTTTAGGGTTTAGGGTTTAGGGTTTAGGGTTTAGGGTTTAGGGTTTAGGGTTTAGGGTTTAGGGTTTAGGGTTGTCAAGTCTCCCATTGCTGGTATACCCAAAGCATGTTAACCCGGGGCTATGCTTTGGGGTTTACGGCTAAGGGTGTAGGGTTTGGGGTTTGTAAGCCCCCAAACCTGTTTGAGGTAGGGCTTAAAGACTAGCTAGCGCCTTCGACATCAGGCCGTTCTCTAAGTTGTGATCACTTTTGGCGTTCGGGAGCATGGCTTTATAGCACGTTAGGCTCCGTGGCGCAATACATGCTCCTAAACCCTAAGCCCTAAACCTTATAAGGTTACAAGGTTAAAGGGTTTGGGGTGTACAGTAGGGTCTAGGGGTTGAGGCACGTATTTTCCGCACCCGCTCTGTGTCCAACGAAGGGTAGGCAAAAGAGCAGATTCGGATCCGGCTCTTGTGCAGGGGGGCTCCTTGTGAACCCAACCCCGACTGCCAGAGATTGCCCTGTGGCCCATGAATAAACCCTAAACCTTAAACCCTAAACCCTAAACCCTAAACCCTAAACCCGAAACCCCAAACCCTAAACCCTAAACCCTAAACCCTAGCCCTAAACCCTAAACCCTACACCCTACACCAGGAGCCGCAGGCATACGACGGTTGCCACGACATCACAGACAGCCCCGGCGGTGAAGAGCAGTGAGTCGGTCCCCGCCTTGCGCGAAGGGCTCAGAGGATTTTGGGGTTTAGGGTTTAGGGTTTAGGGTTTAGGGTTTAGGGTTTAGGGTTTAGGGTTTAGGGTTTAGGGTTCCGAGTTCAGGGTTTGGGGTTTAGGGTTGGAGGTTCGTGGTACTTAAAAGACAGTTATAACTGTATGTATAGCCTCCTTATAAGCCCCTTAAATTTCCCTAAAATATGGTTGTTGGGATATAAGTGAAGTTACTATTTGGTTAGTAAGTACCATGAACCTCCAAGTAGGGTTTATAGTGTTTATAGGGTTTGCAGGGTTTATGGGGTTTATGGGGTTTATGGGGTTTGTAGGGTTTATAGGGTGTATAGAGCTTATCGGGCTTTTCGGGTTTATGGGGCGTATAGAGTTTATAGGGCTTTTTAGGGATTGGGGTTTGGGGTTTGGGGTTTAGGGTTTGGGGGTTTGCAGTTTGGGGTTTAGGGGTTTAGGGGTTCGGGTTCAGGGTTTAGGTGTTCTGGGGCCGGTTTTAGGGGTTTAAGTGAGCCGGAACCTCTACCCAAGACCTCCCTAACCTAAACCTGAGAGGAAGGAGCCCAATGCCCCTTTTTTGAAAGCCTGTGTTGAGGGCCCAGAGACCTTATTCTTTGGGGTCTTGGGCCCTGAGTAGTTTGGGGTCTAAAATGTTGCCCAAGAAATTTGAGATGTTTCCCCCTTATTCCAACAGTCCTTGCTAGGGATGAAGTATAAGGGGGAACATCCCAACAAGAATGTATATTAAGCCCCTTGCGAGAACAAGTATTCTTGTGGGAATCTGTTTTTACTCAGGGCCTACGGGCCCCCTTGAATATGCATTCTTAGGTGCGGGCCTGTGGCCCCCGATATTCCCTCGCGGAATCAACAAAGAGGTGCCCAAGACTAACAAAGCCCTTTTAACAACAGCCGCCCCCCCCCCCCAACCCCTAAACCCCTCCACACCTTAAGCCACTAACCCTAAACCCTAAACCCTAAACCCTAAACCCTAAACCCTAAACCCCTTTGAGGCCGTGACCAGGGCCACCACCCAACCACCCAGCAGCGAGACCAGCAGCTGGGGGATGCAAAGCCTCAGAGAGTCTTAGGGGTTTGGGGGTTTGGGGGTTTAGGGTTTAGGGTTTAGGGTTTGGGGTTGGGGGTTTAGGGTTTAGGGTTTACGGTTTAGGGTTTAGGGTTTAGGGTTTGGGGGGTTTAGGGGTTTGGGTGTTTGGGGGTTTGGGGGTTTGGGGGTTTGGGGGTTTGGGGTTTGGGGTTTGGGGTTTGGGGTTTGGGTTTAGGGTTTGGGGGGTTTAGGGGTTCAGGGTTTAGGGTTGGGGCATAGGCTTGGGGCTCAGGGTTAAAGGACGGGCAACGCCACGTTGAGGAAGCCGTTCAGCTCCCCAAGCAGGTCCTTCAGGAAATCCGGGTGGACTTTCAAAGTACAGGGTTTAGGGTTGAGGGTTGAGGGTTGAGGGTTGAGGGTTGAGGGTTTTTCTGCTTTCGACTCCCGAATCGTCCCTAAGCCGTTTCTCTCATCTCAGGCTGGGAAGAACCCGAGGATGCCCCCTTAAATCCTACGCATGATCCGCTTAAAACCCATGAGGGAAACTATGAAATACCCCTAAACCCTAAACCCTAAACCCTAAACCCTAAACCCTAAACCCTCAAAGCCTACCTAGGAACTGAAGGCTCCGCTGGTCGGAAGCATCTTTACCTTGACTCCCGTCTCTTGAGCTTCACGGCTTGGAGCGTTGTTGGGATGTGTCTTCTCTTGAGGCGTCGCGCAGCAAGCTTCCCTAAACCCTAAACCCTAAACCCTAAACCCTAAACCCTAAACCCTAAACCCTAAACCCTAAACCCTAAACCCGCGGTTGCTGCTGGATCTCCCGTCCTTCGGCGCCTCTTCAGACACCACCTCACAAACCGAGGCACACGAAAGTCACAAAGCCCTGAGGCCCTCGGCCCGGCAACTCCCAGACCCCTAGCCTGCAGGGGTTTCCTTTCTTTTGCAGATTGGGTCTAGGGTTTAGGGTTTGGGGGTTGGGGTTTAGGGTTTAGGCTTTAGGCTTTAGGGTTTAGGGTTTAGGGTTTAGGGTTTGGGGTTTAGGATTTAGGGTCTAGGGTTGGGGTTTGGGGTTTAGGGAGGGTTTAATGGTTTCCCCTGCTTGGGGTTCCGACCACCGGCCCCAAAACCCGACCAGCCGTGCCGTTTGCTTGCCAAACCCTAAACCCTAAACCCTAAACCCTAAACCCTAAACCCCAAAACCTGCTGTTTGCCAAAGAGGGGCCAGGAATGGGATGGTCTGCTGGATGCCATAAAGTGGCCCCAAGAGGGCCAGCCAGGCGCTGGACGCGGCCTGTTCTAAGGACATTTTCGGGTTGCAGGTTGGAGAATTTTGGGTTTGGGGTTTAGGGCTTTGGGTTTAGGAGTTCAGGGTCTAGGGTTTAGGGGTTCAGGGTTGGTGGGTTTAGGGTCTGGTGGACGTTTGGCTCGTGGAGCGCGGGGCGAAACCTTGCACCCCACAGGGGCTTCGGCAGATTCGAAGAAAAGTTTCGGATTGTGGGTGCGCAGGACCCCAGGAACTCCGTGATTCGCTTCAACCCTAAACCCTAAACCCCTAAACCCCTAAACCCTAAACCCTAAACCCTAAACCCTAAACCCTAAACCCTAAACCCCAAACCCTAACCCTACTAATCATTCCGAGCTTACGAACGGTACATCTAGCTGCAGAATCAGGATTCTGCGGCCAGAAGCCTTGTCTGGAAGGCGTACGAAAGCGTACGAAAGTTTGGGGTTTCTCGGGTTTAGGGTTTAGGGTCTAAAGTGTACGTAGGGGTTTAGCGCCTGCGGCTTGTGATGTCCCTATTTGCACTCCGAAAGTCACACAACAGCTCCCTCGAACCATCCCAAGCCCTAAACCCTAAACCCTAAACCCTAAACCTTAAACTCTAAACCCTAAACCCTGAACCCTATAAACCCTAAACCCTACACCAAAAATGCCGTTCTAGCGCATGTTGTTGGAAAGTTTGGGCTGGCCTCAGCTGTTCGGCGTTTAGGTTCCCAAACAGACCCTGAATACTGAACCCCCACGTGGAGGCCCTGGTACTTCATAACCATGATCACTGCATTTATAACCCACCTATGAGCCCCTTAAGTACCCTAGCATGGTTATCATTGGGTTAGAAGTGCAATTACCCTAAACCCTAAACCCTAAATCCGAAACCCTAAACCCTAAACCATACACCCTAAATTCCGTTCGTAAGTACCATGAATCCCCAAGAGGGCTCAGGGTTCCAGAGCTCCAGGGTTCAGGGTCCCAAGGTTGGAGTTCCCCTAAACCCTAAACCCTAAATACTAAACCCCTAAACCCTAAACCCTAAACCCTAAACCCTAAATCCTAAAACCGAAGCCCTTACCCCTAAACCCCCTAAACCCTAAGTACTAAACCCTAAACCCTAAACCCTAAACCCTAAACCCTAAACCCCAAACCCTAAACCCTAAACCCCGGGCCTTGGCGTGCGTGCGGCTGATGAGTATCGAGGCCGCGAGCATCAGCGCTGTGGCGCCGGTTGACAGCGACCACAAGCGCGCTTTGCCCAGCTTTCGGAGCACCTCGGGGTTGGACATGCTAAACCCTAGCCCTAAACCCTAAACCCTGAACCCTAAACCCTAAACCCCAAACCCCAAACCCCAAACCCTAAACCCCAAACCCTAAACCCTAAACCCCAAACCCCAAACCCTAAACCTTAAACCCGGGACCCTAAACCAATAAACCTCTAAATCTCTAAATCCCCAAAAACCCCATCCAAGGCCGAGGCCGTAGGGATCAGGTAGGTGGTCCCAGTCATGAGCACGGCATTCAGGATCCTCGGTTCTTCGGGTTGCACGCCGACAGCCCATCCACACCCAAAGCAAAGGAATATGGTTTAGGGTTTAGGGTTTAGGGTTTAGGTTTTAGGGTTTAGGGTTTAGGGCTTAGGGATAAGATGGGGGGAGATTCCGAATGTATTTACGAGCTTTTAAAGGCTCAGGGCTTGGGGCTTTACAGGGTTTAAGGCTTAGGGGGCTTGGCTCATATTTGGACCCCGACAACATTACCATCGAAGGTACAATCCTTTAGCCGAGGGGTATGTTGGGCTCGGCTCTCTCAAATCTAGGGGTTGTACCTTGGGTCCTTAAGGTTGTACCCATGTGTCTTTGGGGACCTGATTTCAAAGATCCTTAAGGTCGTATAAGGGCCATATTAGGAGTATATTAAGGGGAACCTTTAGAGGTACAACCTTGGGGGCACGAGTCTTACTCCAAGCCCCAAACCCTAAACCCTAAACCCCAAACCCTAAACCCTAAGCTCTAAACCCTAAACCCTGAGCAGAAGGGGAAGAACACCAACAACTCTACGAGCCTAAGAGCGGCCAAGGCACAATGCCCGCGAGGCGGCATGAACGCCTGTAACATAAGCCTCGCCACGGTGGCCTTAGGGTACCTCCTCGGGGTTTAGGGTTTAGGGTCTAGGGTCTAGGGTTTAGGGTTTAGGGTTTAGGGAAAAGGGGGTACCTTGTTTGGGGTCCTTATTATAAGGGATCCGACTATTTGGGGGTCTATACCAGGGGTCCCTCATCATCGTAAACCACCGTCTGGGTGGTAAGAGTGTTTTTTTTTTTGTTGCGGGTGCTTTTTTGCTGTGGGTGCGGGGGCGCGTGTTTTTTTTTGTTGCGGGTGCCGTGGGGTCGCGTTTGTTTTTTTGCTGCGGGTGCGGAGCGTTTTTGCTGTTTTCTGAATATTTTACTATGAAAACCTCTATTTTCTCTAATTTTCAATAGGAAAACCTCTTTCTTCTCTATATTTGAATAGGAAAACCTCTTTCTTCTCTATATTTGAATATGAAAACCTCTGTTTTCTCTACATTTAGTATGAAAACCTCTACTTTAATTCGAAAACCTCTATTTCTCTATACTTTATAGTCATAGTTTTCCTCTATATTTAAATGAGGAAGACATGAGAGAGGAATACATGAGAAACTTATTGTCTGTGTTATCTCAATGTGTGACTTGCAATTAAAAGTGTTTTGTTCCTCTTGTCCTATTTTAATAGGAAGCCCATTATTTTCTTTGTCTCTGAATAGGCAAACCTCCATTGTCTTAACATTTGAACATGAAGACCTCTATTCTCTATATTTGAATATCAAGACCTCTACATTTTGATATGAAAACACTTTGTATGTTCGCTATATTTTCGTATGAAAGCCTCTATTTCCTCTATGTTGTCATAGGAAACATCTAATTTCTCTATATTGTATAGCGAAAACCTCTATTGTTCTATGGTTTCTTTTATTTTGTCAGTATTTTCAGACATCTTCTCTTTATTTCACGAGGAAGACATGAGAGGAATACATGAAAAGCTAATTCTCTATATTGTCATAAGAGTACATGCATTATCTCTATCTGTGACTCGTAGACAACAAGTGTTTTTGTTCATGTCTCATAACACAGGCTCTATTTTCTCGATTCTTTACTAAGAAGACGTTTATATCTCTATTTTTAAACGGAAAATTCAACTTCCACTATAAGGTCTGAATTTTCGTAGGAAAGCAGGCATATATTCCCTGTTTTTTCAGGGGGTTGGAGCGCGCATCATGGGTTTGGAAGGGATTCGTAAGCTTTGAAGCAGGCTTGCCGGCCAAAAAAAACGGGGGGGTTGGGGGGGGGCGCAGCCCCCCCCCTATTTGCAACACAATGCTCGCATCATCATGGGTTTGGAAGGGATTCGTATGATTGAAGCAAGCTTGCCCGGCTAAAAAGCGCAGCCCCCTCCCCCCCCCCCCATTTGCAACACAATGCTCGCATCATCATGGGTTTGGAAGGGATTCGTATGATTGAAGCAAGCTTGCCCGGCTAAAAAGCGCAGCCCCCCCCCCGCCCCTTTCAAGCGGAGGGGAATGCTCTCATGATGGTTTCGGAAAGGATTCATTTGCTTTGAAGCAAGCTGGCATGGCTTTAAGAAGCGGGGGGGTTGGGGGGGGGCGCAGCCCCCCCCAATTTGCAAACCCAATGCTGGCATGATGGGCTTGGACAGGATTCATATGCTGAGAAGCTAGCTGGCACGGTTTTAAAGAGGGGGGGGGTCGGGCGGGGTGCAGCCCTCCCTCCACCGTTAGCAAACACAATGCTCGCATGATGGCCTTGGGAAGGATTCAGTGCTTTGAAAACGCTTGCACAGTTTAAAGGAGGGGGGGGGTTGGGGACGGGGTTGGGGAGGAAATTGCAAAAACAAATGACCTGGGGGAAGGGGGGGGGGGCGCGTTTTTTTTTTGCTGCGGGTGCGGGGGCGCGTTTTTTTTTTGCTGCGGGTGCGGGGGCGTGCGCTGGAGGTCACTCACCGGGGGGTGGGGAGGAGGGGGGGGGGGGGGGCGCGTTTTTTTTTTTTTTTTTTGCTGCGGGTGCGGGGCGCGTTTTTTTTTTTTGCTTGGGGGCGCGTTTTTTTTTGCTGCGGGTGCGGGGGCGACACGCGCCAGGTCACTCACTCACCTGGGGGGGTGGGGAGGAAGCGGGGGGGAGGGGGGGGGGGTGCGTTTTTTTTTTTGCTGCGGGTGCGGGGGGCGGTTTTTTTTTTTGCTGCGGGTGCGGGGGCCCCTTTTTTTTTTGCTGCGGGTGCGGGGGCGACACGCGCCAGGTCACTCACTCACCGGGGCGGCCCCCGAAAAAAGCACCCACAGCAAAAAAGCACCCACAACAAAAAAAAAACACGGGTTCCCCGTCTGGGTTCCATGACTTCATACAGGGTGATTGCACTTTACCCATCCGAAATCAATGACATAGGCACACGGCTGGTGTCCAGAAATAGTTAGAGGGTCATGGAGGTAGAATAGACAACATCACAACTCCACGATGGTTCCGGAAACAGCTTAAGGGTGGCGCGGCTTTAGGACCCAAATTTGACCCAAATCCTGAACCCTAAACCCTAAACCCAATGGCGGAAAGGATTTGCAGGGAATGTCTCGGCTTTGTTTCCGGCCTTGTTGGCTGGTGACGACTCGTCGGCGGAACCCTGGTACACCTCCGTTGCCACAAACTCCTGGGAAAGCACCGTCCATGGTCAACGGGTATGTGAGCCCCAAACCCCAAACCCAAAACCCTAAACCCTAAACCCTAAACGAGGTTCGGGGCCTAAGGTTTGGCCATGACAAAGGTTGCTCGCAGGGTAGGAACATAGTAGGACCCATGCGAGCGATGAACAAATCATGCTCAAAAATGTGCCTCGAAGACCGCATGGGAAGACTCCCTTTGCGCGCGTGGTCTTGCTAGGCTGTTCTAGGCTCAATCCCTTGGCATGGACGCTAAACCCTGCAACGCAGCCAAGCGCATCAGCGAGAAGAAACACTCCTTGAGCTTCACTCCACTTAGGCCAGAAGCAGCATGCTGCGCAAACCCTAAGCCTTAAACCCTAAAACCCAAACATAAAACCCGAAAGCCCTAAAACCCTAAAACCCTAAAACCCTAAAGCCCTAAAACCCTAAAGCCCTAAAGCCCTAAAACCCTAAAACCCTAAAACCCTAGAAACCCTAAAACCCTAAAACCCTAAAACCCTAAACCCCTAAAACCCTAAAACCCTAAAACCCTAAAACCCTAAAACCCTAAAACCCTAAAACCCTAAAACCCCGTAGGGTCAGGGGCTCGCTCTTGAAGTGATGATACGAGGGGTTTCTGGGATAGGGTAGCTACATGGCCCCTTAGTATGGGCCCTTAAACCGGGACCCCTTATATACCCTATAGAAGGGGCGCATACTTAAAGGAGGTAAGGGGCCACAGCATCACCCGCCCTTAGACAGGACTCAGAGTCACAACAGCTAGGATACCCTGAGCCGGAGACCCTCCCAAGGTAGCAGATTCGCTATTGACTCATGGCTCTTTGCGGTTTAGGGCTTAGGGTTTAGGGTTTAGGGTTTCGGGTTTCGGGTTTAGGGTTTCTGGTTTCGGGTTGCAATCATGGCTCTGTCTGGTAGATCTGCAAGGAGATCCACCCCAACCAGGCCAGCAAAGTGACAGTGTACGTGGCCAGCAAGGCCTGTCAAGTATCTTAGGGTCCCTAAACCCTAAACCCTAAACCCTAAACCCTAAACCCTAAACCCTAAACCCTAAACCCTAAACCCTAAACCCTAAACCCTAAACCCTTCAGGGTTTCACTCCCACGGAGAGCCCCCAAAACCAGCAGCCCCCAACAGCAGAAAGCCTTTCGGGGGTGTTGTGTAAGGTTTTCTACGACCTAGGGTTTAGGGTCTAGGGTTTAGGGCTTAGGGTTTAGGGTTTAGAGGAAGATACTAGGACCCGGAGTAGGCCCTTATTTCCTTTGTTTAGGGTTGAGGTTCCCTTATCCCTAAACCCTAAACAGTAAACCCTAAACCCTAAACCCTAAACCCTAAACCCTAAACCCTAAACCCTAAACCCTAAACCCCAAAGGAGGCGGCCTGGTTGCCCCAGATGATGCGCAGTGTGGCGCCTGCAGATCGCTCCTGACCGTAGGCTCTTACAGGCTTTGGGTTGAAGATGTTTAGGGTTTAGGGTTTGGGGTTTAGGGTTTAGGGCTGAGGGTTTAGGGTTTAGGGTTTAGGGTCTAGGGTTTAGGGTCCATGAGGCCCCCAAAACCTTTCAGACCTTTCCCGGAAAGCCCCGACATCCCCTCCCGGCCTCTTGAACCAGAGGCGTGTGCACATCTCCTGCATCAGGACTGGAACACTGCAGGGCTTCGCGTGGGGATGTGTCCCCCTTATACTAACAGTCCTGAATTGGGCTCGGGTTTTGAGTCTATGGTTTACAGTTCTTGTGGAAGTCCTGTTGCTGTATCCCTGCGTTGAAGCAAAATCTGCAGGCCCACGCCCCCCCCCCCCCCCCCCGACCTTATCAACAAGGTAACGCACGGCGACATCTCCGGATTGCACAGGAACCCAAAACCCTAAACCCTGAAGTCTAAACCCTAAACCGGAAACAGTAAACCCTAAACCCTGAAGCGGAAACCCTAAACCCTAAATCTCCCCTGCGATCTCAGATCCCATCCGTGAGATACCAGGAAGAAGGCCCCCTCAAGTCGCCTCTGCCCCCCGAGACAAAGGGTTTAGGGGTTAGGGTTTTTAGGGTTTATGGTTTAGGGTTTAGGGTTTAGGGTTTAGGGTTTGCTCAGGTTCCGCGCACACCACCACGCGGGACGTGTGTTGTGGTGTGCGCCCAGGTTCAACGCGCTCTCCCAACCCACCCACCCACATCTCAACCTTGGGCGGGTTTAGGGTTTTATAATATCGTGTGTAAGTACAGTAGTGGGAGGGGGCGCTACGGGCCGCCTTTGACCAAATCCTGCCGCGAAGGCCTCTCTGTCCCCCCAAGATCCATAGGTTCTTTTGGCGGGTTTAGGGTTTCTTTTGCCCGGTAATTCCAAATTATGATGCTTATACCGGGCTTACAAGACCCATAGGTTTATGCCTTGGGCTCCCTTTGGTTTTTGGTCCTGCGCCCTCTCTACGATTGGGGAGGGTCTGGGATTGGCCGAAGGAGGCCTTTTAGGAGACCTTTTGGAAGGACTGTCCTGGGACCTCCTGAAACCCTGCCTACAAGATCCATAGGTTTATATGTTGGGCTCCCTTTGATTTTTGGTCCTGGGAAGGTTTTGGAGGCCTGGCCGAAGGAGGCTTCCTGAAAGGATTTCCTGGTGGCCCCCCTGGAACCTCGGCCACTGCAACCTCTTGGGACCTTGCTTGCAAGATTTTTTGCGGGTTTAGGGTGTTTTGCCCGGGGTTTCCCTAATTATGATGCTTATACGGGGCTTACAAGACCCATAAGTTTATGCCTTGGGCTCCCTTTGGTTTTTGGTCCTGCGCCTCTCTACGATTGGGGAGGGCTTGGGCCCAAAACAGCCCAAAAATGGCTTAATGATCCGGAGACCCAAAAAGGCTCAAACAGTCCGGGAGGAGCCCACGGTAAACCCAAAAAAGCTCAGAAACTGTCCCGGAGAAGCCCAGAACGGCTCAGAAGCGGTTCGGGAGAATCAAAAGGCTCGGAAATGACCCAAAAATGCTCAGAAATGGTCCGGGAAGAGCTCAAAAAGGCTCAGAAACGATCCGGGCGGAGGTCAAAAACCCAGAAATGGTCCGGGAGGAGCCCAAAAAAGGCTCAGAAACGGGAGGCCCAAAAAAGCTCAGAAATGGTCCGGGAGGAGCCCAGAAAAGGCTCAGAAATGGTCCGGGAGGAGCTCAAAAAGGCTCAGAAACGGTCTAGGCAGAGGTCAGAAAATGCTCAGAAATGGTCTGGGAGGAGCCCAAAAAGGCTCAGAACACAGAAATGGTCCGGGAAAGGCTCAGAAATTGCCCAAAAAGGCTCAGAAATGGTCCGGGAAGAACTCAAAAAGCGGGCGGGCGGATGTGGGGAGGAGCCCAAAAAAGCTCAGAAATGGTCTGGGAGGAGCCCAGAAAAGGCTCAGAAATGGTCCGGGAAGAGCTCAAAAAGGCTCAGAAACAATCCAGGCGGAGGTCAGAAAATGCTCAGAAATGGTCCGGGAGGAGCCGAAAAAAGGCTCAGAAATGGTCCGGGGAAAAGCCCAAAAAAGCACAGAAATGGTCCGGTAAGAGCTCAAAAAGGCTCAGAAAATGGCCCAAAAAGGCTCAGAAATGGTCCGGGAGGGAGGAGCTCAAAAAGCCCGGAAATGGTCCGGGTGCAGCCAAAAAATGGCTCAGAAACGGTCCGGGAGGAGCCAGAAAAGCTCAAAAAAGCTCAGAAATGGTCCGGGAGGAGAGCTCAAAAAGGCTCAGAAACGGTCCAGGCGGAGGTCAGAAAATGCTCAGAAATGGTCCGGGAGGAGCCCAGAAAAGCCTAAAAAAAAACACAGAAACAATGGCCCAAAAAGGCTCGGAAATGAGCTCAAAGCCCAGAAACGGTCCGGGAAGAGCCCAAAAAAGGCTCAGAAACGGTTCGGGAGGAGCCCAGAAAGGCTCCTGGGGCCCCCCTGGACCCTTAGGGGAGGATGCACCAGTGCGGGGTCACTAAAAACCTAAGGTTTAGGGTAATTCTCTTTGGAGCCAGACTGACGCTGGCACGCGGGTTAAACCCTTCTAGGCGTGGGCCGCGCTCACCGCGCGCAACGGCCCCGAGCCCTCGCCAGGCTAAGGCTCGGGCTCGTCCGCGGGGGGCTCGCTCCAGTTTAGGGTTTAGGGTTTAGGGTTTAGGGTTTAGGGTTTAGGGTTTAGGGTTTAGGGTTTAGGGTTTAGGGTTTAGGGTTTAGGGTTTAGGGTTTAGGGTTTAGGGTTTAGGGTTTAGGGCTTAGGGCTTAGGGTTTGTAAGCCAGAACTCCCACAATGACAAGCTCCAAGGAGCTTTCGTGATTTCAAGGGGGCATCAAACCCAAAGCTCGGTCCCTCGTGAAGCTGGGTTTAGGGTTTAGGGTTTAGGGTTTAGGGTTTAGGGTTTAGGGTTTAGGGTTTAGGGTTTCGGGTTTCGGGTTTCGGGTTTAGGGCAACTCCCCAAGCCCCCAGATCTAGACACCCCGGAGCCCACAAACTCAGTCATGGCACCGTAGCCCGCGCCTGCCCGCGATGCCCGCGGATCTTCCCTGCCCACCGCCATGGTGCACCCGTTGGCGAGAACCTTATCTTATGGGGCTAGGAGGGGGGTTCAAGGGGGTTTAGGGTTTCGGGTGTAGGGTTTGGGGTTTAGGGTTTATGGTTTAGGGTTTCGGGTTTAGGGGGGTTCAAGGGGGGTACGTAACTCATATACTCCCCAGTACTCCCTGAGGCTCTCTAAGCTTCCCTAAGGTTCCCTGGGTACCTCCCCCCCTTGAACCCCCCTCCCTTAAGAACCCTATGTCATGACTTCGGGTTTGGGGTTCGAGGGTTCAGGGCTGAAGGGGTTTAAGGGGTTTAGGCATTTAGGAGGCCAGGTTTAATTAGGGTTCAGGGCTTCAGAAGTTCATAAGGGTTTAGGGCTTAGGGCCTGGGATCTACACTGGCTGCTAGCGCCAACTGTGCGAGAAGCTTAACAGCAGCAAGCGAGAAAGGTACCCGGCGACTGTTGATGCAAGATGTTCACCGGGAGGGTTTAGGGTTTGGGGTTTGGGTTTTAGGGTTAAGGGCTTAGGGTTTAGGGCGGTTTCGGGTCTAGGGCTTAGGGTTTAGAGTTTTGGGTTTTGGAGGCCCTTATCATAGGAGCCCTCTATAGGGCACGCGAACTTTTCGGAAATCCCCCACGTATATGCCGATGGCGCACCAACTTGAATAATGTAGTCTCATCCGATGTCGCTCACGGTTTAGGGTTTAGGGTTTAGGGTTTAGGGTTTAGGGTTTAGGGTTTAGGGTTTAGGGTTTAGGGTTTAGGGTTTAGGGTTTAGGGTTTAGGGTTTAGGGTTTAGGGTTTAGGGGTTAGGTTTTAGGGTTTAGGGTTTAGGGTTTAGGGTTTAGGGTTTAGGGTTTAGGGTTTAGGGTTTAGGGTTTAGGGTTTAGGGTTTAGGGTTTAGGGTTTAGGGTTTAGGGTTTAGGGTTTAGGGTTTAGGGTTTAGGGTTTAGGGTTTGGGGGGTTTAGGGTTTGGGGGGTTTAGGGGGTTTAGGGGGTTAGGGTTTAGGGTTTGGGGTTCAGGGTTTAGGGTTTAGGGTTTAGGGTTTAGGGTTTAGGGTCAATAGGCATAACTGCGCATTGAAACTTCATTCTAGCTGATTGATATGCACCTGAACCGTACCCCTAAAACCCTAAGCTCTACACCCTAAACCCTAAACCCCAAGCCCTAAACCCTAAACCCTAAACCCTAAACCCTAAACCCTAAACCCTAAACCCTAAACCCTAAACCCTAAACCCTAAAACTAAACCCTAAACCCTAAACCCTAAACCCTAAACCCTAAACCCTAAACCCTAAACCCTAAACCCTAAACCCTAAGACCCACAGACCAAGCCCGCCGTCAGAAATGCGAAGCCGCAGGTCGGCGCAACCTCTTTGACCATTGAAATCAGTAGGGTTTAGGGTTTGAGTTTTGTTTTTAGGGTTTAGGGTTTAGGGTTTAGGGTTTAGGGTTTAGGGTTTAGGGTTTAGGGTTTAGGGTTTAGGGTTTAGGGTTTAGGGTTTAGGGTTTAGGGTTTAGGGTTTAGGGTTTAGGGTTTAGGGTTTAGGGTTTAGGGTTGAGGGTTGAGGGTTTAGGGTTTAGGGTTTAGGGTTTAGGGTTTAGGTTTTAGGGTTTAGGGTTTAGGGTTTAGGGTTTAGGGTTGAGCGCAAAGGGTTGAGGGTTGAGGGCTTAGGGTTGAGGGGTCTCGAGCTTTCATGCTTCGGTGGCTTCGGGTTCAGGTTTAGGGTTTAGGGTTTAGGGTTTAGGGTCGTGTGAGCATTGTGTTTGCAAATGGGGGGGGGCTGCCGCCCCCCCAACCCCCCCGCTTTTTTTTTTTTTTTTTTAAGGCCGTGGCAGAGCGCGCGGGTGGAGTTTTTTTTGGTCTTTTTTTTTTTTTTTTGGGGCAAGTTTTTTTTTTTTTTTTTTTTGTCGATTTCCTTGGTTTTCTCTAGGAAAAACCCTACTTTCCTTACATTTTGGACGGATTTTCTGTCATTTCCCTGAGGTTTTCGTTGGTTTTTCATAGGGAAAAACCTATTTTTTTACATTTTGGACGGATTTCCTGTAATTTCCCTTAGGTTGAAGCACGCTCTGCACGGCTTAAAAAAAAAGCCGGGGGGGTTGGGGGGGGCGCAGCCCCCCCCCAT